CATTTTTCTAATTAATTAGGGTCGGCTACATGAATCCTAGTTCTCCGTTCTGCTCTATTAAAAACCATATGTTTTGTGCGGCTGCAAGACCCCATATCTTTTCAAACTACTTCGAACCACACATTGTTAAAAAAAGCGGACCCCCCCGTGCCTCGGCAGCTAGGAGGTCCAGAAGCCCAGGCCTAGGCGGCCAAACTAAGCAGCAGTCCTTGGGCGACCGTTTAGGGCTTGGGCCACCTAGGGGCGGAAATGAGTTTTTTTGTTTTTTTTTTCTATTGAGTTTTTTTGAAACATAAAAACTTTAACGATAAGTTTTAGGTTCATTTGAAACCTAAACCCATAAGAACTCTTTTTAGGTAGAAAGAAACCTTAAAAAAAACTAAATTTTGTGATTTTCATTGGATCTAAGTGTTTATCTAAGTTACGAAACATAGATTCAAACATCACCCAAGTAGATTAGATTTAGTTTTGGAGTTTTTTAATCTTATTAGAGGGTGTTTTTATAGGTTTAGCTTTAAAAAACACCTCAGAGGTGGGAGTTTGGAGTTCGAAGAATCAAAGTAGGTGCAAAATTTTATTTTTTAGATTGCTTATTCTATTTTGAGATGTATTCTTCAGGATCTAATCAACGTGGAGATTCGGGTTGGAAATATGGATATAACCGGAATCCAAAAGACAAAAATTGCATTAGAAGCAACTATTGTGGGAAAGATATAAAAGAGGGTATAAACCGGTTTAAGAAACATCTTGCCGGTATCAAGGGGGATGTTGCCCCTTGTAAAAATACTCCTGAAGCTATCAGAGAAGAGATTAAGCATTATATGAGTTTTGTAAAACAAAAACAGAAACAAAATCTTTTTCATTTGAATGGATCTATTTCCGGTTCTTTTCGAAGAAGTGACCCGGGTTGGAAGTATGGTCATAACCCGAAATGATAAAAATTGTATAAGGTGTAATTTTTGTGAAAAAGATGCCAATGGGGTATTAACCGATTCAAGAAACACATTGCCAGCGTTAAACGAAATATTGCTTCTTGTAAAAAGATTCCTGAGCTATTCAGGATGAGATTAAACAATTTTTTATTTTAAAATATCCAAAAATGGATGAAAATGAGTATTGTTCTATGAAAATATCTTCTCTAGATTCTTCTAAAAGTGGTGATCCAGGTTGGAAGTATGGTTATAACTAGAATCCGAATGACAAAAATCGTATTAAATGTAATTATTGTGGAAATGATACTAATGGGGGTATTTATCGGTTCGAAAAATACCTTTTCGATCTTATGGGGGATGTTACCCAGTGTAAAAACGTTCCTGAGGCTATCGGGGAGATTATACAATATTTGAGTTCACGGAAGCACAAAAAAATAGAAAAGGGTAAAGCAACCAAGACTCCTAGGGCCTCATTTGCACATAGTAAAAGGGAGGTAGAAGAGGAGGAGGAGGAAGATGCAGATTCAGAAGAAGCAGAGGAGGACTAGCGTTATATTGAAGAGGGAGATGATTCTGATGATGATGGCCTCGAATCTGATGCATATGATGAGGCTTACCCCATTTTTTCTGATGATGATGATGATGGTGATTGAATAATGAAGAGTTGAAGATGCTTGAGTGCTTGAATCTTGGTGTTGACTTTTGAGTGTTGGCCATTGTGTCCTAGACTGTATATTTTCTGAATTTCTGTATATTTTCTTTTTCTTATTTTTAGTCTCTACTATATAACTTTTGTGTGTACAGTGTATCAGACTATCAGTGCATGCTTGTATGGTTTTACTGTTTTAGCATTGTATGAAAATATAGATTAACATCTTATGGATTATCAAAATTCTTTTTTTGACTTCTATCCTTTTTTTTTTTTTTTCAACTGGGCTACCCAGGTTCTAGGCGCCCACCTAGGCGGCCGCTTAGGCGCTAGGCGGCCTTATTCCCCACTGCCGCTTGGATGCCGCCTAACGCTTTTTGAAATATTGTAATCACGTCTTTTTGGTCCTACCCTTAGCCCTTTTCAGTCCTTCTACTTGAACTAACTCGCACCTCCTAACAGGTGATGTATTTGGTTGGTGCCACATGTAGCCAGCCCACCTATGTCTACTCTCTCTCATTTTATCGCCTATTGTTGCCGTGCTTAAATTCTCTCGTCTCTATTCATTTCGAATTCTATCATTTCTTGTGTTGCCACTCATCTATCTCGACTTCCTTATCTCTGCTACACCCATTCTATGAGTATATTGTTTTTTGTCTGCCCAACATACCGCCCCATAAAGCAAAGCGGGTCTCACCGCTGTTTTCTAGAACTTGCCCTTTAGCCTCATTGGTACGCGACGATCACATAAAATTCCAGTTGCACATCTCCACTTCTCTCCCCCCATCTCTAATTCTGTGTGCGACATCTTCCTCGATCTCTCCATTTTCGTGGATTATCGACCAAAGATATCGAAAGTGCGGTCCTTTTTGTACTTCTTGGCCGTCAACCTTAACTACTTTCTTGTCTCTACTCCTATTATTTTTAAACCTGCAGTCCATATACTTTGTCTTAGTCCGACTATTTTTAAAACCTTTGGATTCTAGAGCATCCCTCCAAAGTTCTAAGTTTGTGTTGACGCTTCCTGTCTCATCAATCAAAACGATGTGATCTACGAACAACATGCACCACGATACCTCATCCTATAGGTGCGTAGTTAAGTCATCCATTACTATCTTAAAATCTATTTTCATATCTAATTAAAAATTTTTAAATTCCAAAAATAGTTAAAATTAAGTAGATCTATTAATATATGAAAATCTTAAAAATAGACGGTCTAGATAATGTGTTGCACGATGCACTATTTTCAGGACTCAAAAACTTTTTTTTTTCATATTCATAGATCTCGATGTCGAGATGATTGATTAGAGTGCTTTTTTAACATTAACACAATATTTTCGATAGCTTTTTGAGGTGCATATGTGATTCTACGTTTTAAGGTAG